AACAGGAAAGAGCTGATCCTCTCTGGTACTTTAAATCCAATTAAGGATTTACATCTGGGAAAACTCGCCTTAACTAAGTTTCCAAAGAGTCCAGAAACATGGATTCACAGGTGTGGTTAATTTACAATATAGTACTCTTACTTACTACTCAGAATGGCTGGAGAACGAAACATGCCATGTGAGAGGCAGGGTCACGTATTGGTTCCAGATCATTAATTCTGAAGTCAGGCTACCTGCATTTAAATCTTGGAGCTTTATAGCTTACTCCCTAAGTGTCCATGGGAATTACTTAACCTCACCAAGCCTCAGTTTTCTCATTTGTAAAATGAGAATAATAATTACACCTATCTCATATAGTTAACAGTCAAGTTTACATCAGTTAGTGCATGTAACACTCTCACAGTGCCTGGCACATGTTAAATAATAAATGTTAGCTATTATTAACTCTCTGAAGCAGTTGTGGAGATTGCACTTACAGATACTGTAAATGCAACTGTAATGAGCAATGTGGATTTTAAAAGCATTTGGTTGTTTTCCTGGTAAAGATGGTGGTGGTGATGGTTGTGGTTATTAAAATTAACTTATAGAGAAAGCTAAGGGCAGCTGAGGTGAATGCTATGTAGGCTGAGCTAAAGTTGCTAAGAACAGTTTTAGATTAAAAGCCTAGGACAGATAGCCAGAATGCACGTTAGGACTCTCAAAATCCTGGCCACCTGGAAGCATCTTCCTCTTAGACCCTTTGTAACTACTTTTACTTGACCAAAATGGTATGGTGTGGGCTTGCTGGTCAGGACCAATAAAGAAGTCATCCTGAAATTCTCAAATTTTTCTTAAATCCTGGGCATTTTAGGATCTTACCTCAGTTCAAGGTGTCTTAGTGGTAATCTTGCCTTTGGTTAACAATGCAGGTCAGCCTCTTCCAAATCACATAGTCAGCTGTCGTTTCTTCATGACTAGAAATTGGGATAGTAGACCACAGAAAGGCATATGACTGTGTATATGGAGGGTTGGAAAGGGATGGTGGCAGGGAAAAGAAACTGTTAAATATGTATCCATCAGTTTCTTGGCTTGCCTAATTTTTTTATAAAGCAGTATTTTATTGTTAAATAAGAAATTCCATTATTTTAAAATGATAAAATGAGTTTCCTTACTCAACTTCCTGTACCTTTGGGTTGGAAATCTTTAAAAAACGTTTTTATATGAGTAAATTACTGGTACAAACTAAACACATTACGTAGTTAGAAACACTAGTGCTTTTTAGGTAAGATATATGCTAATGCAAATCTTAAATAGACAAAGGGAGAATTTGTGGATAAGGACATTTTGACACCTCCTTAATGGTTAAATGAATTATATTTGTTACCTTCCAGATTTTATGCTATAATACAGAAATTTTGCTGAATGAAAACTATCAGAATGCAGCTTCTTGTTTGCAAACAAATGCACATAGGGTGAGGCATGCATATATAATTAAAGATGTGAATCATGACTCCTCTTGTAATATTTATCCGCCATTTATAACCCCTCACCACCACCACCACCACCACCACACATACACACCCCATTTGCCTTTACATTTCCTGGCCAAATAGAGTTTTGGGATTATCATTTTAGAAGTAATGACATTCTCTAATGTAATTGTAATGTAAAAAGTATTACAGATTTTAAAGGGTTTTTTTTTTTCCCATTTATCCTTTTTCCAACCTTCATCCATACTGCTAAATTTTATATTGTCACAAACAACAAAACAACCCCTCCCCATCTCCAAAAAAATGGACTTATAAACAGGTATTATTCTACATTGTCTCTGAATGAAAATTAAATCAGGAATAATGAAAACTGGTTATTTTCCTCTCTGGTTTATGTTCTTTCTGTGTTCTTTCCCACGTGCTATCTTAACAGGCGATGGGTGCTACAACAGCTAATTCAGGAAACCTCGTTGCCTTCCCCTGTGACCAAAGGAAACTTGGGAACAATTCCTGCAGAAAGGGCACAGCGACTCATACAAGAAGAGATGGAGGTCTGTGGTGAAGCTGCAGGGAGATACCCAAGCAACTATAATGCTTGGTCCCATCGCATCTGGGTTTTACAGCACTTGGCCAAGCTAGATGTCAAGGTAGGGATATTATTGTCTCCTGGGCAGACTGCCTGTCTGCCCTTAAAATCTTCTGTTAATGGTTCATCCTCAGAAGAGCTTTGAAGGAGTAGAGAAACTAATGGTCTGGACATGTTTTTGGCAGTCTTAAGGCTAGTGCATTGGTAAAACAAAGGCAGGTTTAATCAGTTGAGGAAGACTGAGCATAACTCACTTTATCCTGAAACAGGAAGGGATTATTAAGCCTTGTAGAACTGGAATTGTTATTTCTTGGTAGTGTTTGGTTATGTGACAATATACTAAGTCAGCTGGCTGTCTTCACACTTTCATCCTCTGAAAAAGGGGAAAAGAGGGCAAGGATAGATGATCTCACCCAGGTGTTTTTAAAATTGTCTGAGCCTGTAAATTACCTGGGGATTCCTAAGTCCCACTCCAGGCCTACTAAATTGGAATGAGGGTGGACCTAGAGATCAGCATTTTCCATGGACTCAGGGTTATTTGGATGCAGAGGCAGTTTGGAAACTCTCAAAGCCTAATCCTTTCAGTTTAGAAATCAGGAGACGGAGATTCCCAGAGAATTTTAATGGCTTAGACTTAGCTACAGTTGCACCTCTTATTATTCATCAGAATGAGAGCCAGGTGTCCCTTGTGCTCCTTCCTATATACTACAGGGTCTCAGTATTTTTCTTGTCTGATGATGTCACAGTACCATAAGAATCTAGGGTGCTCATCTAAAAAGCTTCTCAGGCTTGAGACAATTAAAAGAGGTCAAGTTGAAGATGGAAGTGCCCCAGCTGGTGCTTTCACATTAGTGGAGAAGTATTATGTAATTTTAGTTTACCCCCCCTTCTTCCTACCTCCCTCTTCCCATGCTGTCATTTTCCTCTTTGTTTCCTGGCCAAGACAAATAGGAGAGCTTTTACTTCCAGAGGATTTTAAGCCAATAATTCTGGAAGAGGAGCCTTCCTCTTCTGGTTTATATGAGTTTCAGGAGGGTGGCCACCTAATGCAGTAAAAAGAGCAAAGGCTTAAAATCACATCAACCTAGGTTTAGATTTGGGCCTTACTAGCTATGTGTGGAAAGTAAGGTTTTATTGTTTTCATTTATAAAATAGGGACTCTACTGTCTGCCTCAGTGGATTATTTTGAGTTATTTGGGTTAATGGATGTAAATTACTGGGCATCTAATAAAGAGAGGTTGACTCCATTTTAGTTCCTTTTCTGCTCCCCCAGAAATAGAAAATTGGCCACCAGTTTGCTTGATCAACTCAGTGCAGTTTATTCATGAAAAGTGCAAAACTCTATCATACCCAGCCACTGTCCTATATACTGGGTATGGCAGTAAAACTAAGTGCTTGCTCTTAACAAATTGAAAATCTAGTTGAGAAAGTAGACCAACAATTCCAAAGCATCAGAATACAGTGGGAGCACAGAAAAATGGTTCTTCATCTAGGATGGGCTCATTGGAAATAGCTGCTAGGGGGAAGGAAAATACATAGTGTGGGTCTGGAGGCGTGATTACAAGTTGTTTGATGGGTTGTCAGGTATATGGAGTGCTTTAGAGGCAATCATGTCAGATCTACAACTCAATAGTGTATGGGAGGAGGAAAGAGATATGGGGAGGATTGGGGATAAAAAGGAAGTCAGAGTCCAGGTTAACTGAGAGGTCTTTGGAAATTTTTCTGCCATGATGTGGACCTTTTCAAGTGGCATTTCCATAAAATGAGGAACAAGGGGCCAAAGTGAAATTCTTGGCTACTTGAAACCATCTGGCGGTAAGGATAGCTCACTAATGGCTCAGGTGCCAGGGTCCACTCTTGGGCTCAGATGTCATCACCCTTCCTCGACTTGCCCTTGGAGGAGGACTTACCATTCTTCCTGTCACCACTTGCCACTGCAACATCTCCTGTTCTTGTTGTCAGTGAAGAGTCCTAAATTTGCAAAATCTCCTTTCTGTTATAAGCCGTTGGGCCCCTAGAACATTTACTGCTATGCTTTGTCTATTACAGGAGGTAATCACAAAATACCAGTAGTCTAGATCAGCTTAAAAATATATATGAAATGAACCAGCATGTCTTAGCTTAGAAAATTGAAAATGACTTTTTTTTTTTTTGTTTTGAGACGGAGTTTCGCTCTTTTTACCCAGGCTGGAGTGCAATGGTGCAATCTC